ATTAGAAAATAGGCATTTTGAATAAATTAAAGAGGAAAATGATGAATTTGGCAGTAGCTCCATTTTACAGTTCAAGAAAATCTGCCATATGCTCAGTACAGAAACCTGAAAAAGGATTCTGGACTCAAATTCAGTTAGTACTCCTACTAGAAAATTTGCTCGCTCTGTAGAAAAGAAAATTCTATGCCTTAAGTTGGAAAGGAAATTGATTTTAGATATGAATGATTGCAACGGAAATAGAGAACACAGAATATGTCCTTTCGGAGGAAGCTCCTCAAGATATTTTTGTGAGTTAAGAGTATTCAGTGTGGTGAATTATAGCTTCTGTCTTACCTTTACTTTGAATAAGGGTTGGTCAAGCATTTTAGATTCTTTGCCTAAATCAAATATGATCTGAGGTGCCCTTAGCTAACCATCAGAAAAAGGGGTTCTGAGCCAGACCAAATGTTCAGTGTAGCTCAAGCCAACCTATATGGAATGAAATACTTTTCCCCTTTTCCCTCCAAGGACTGTCAGAGTATTAGCATCAGATTTTAAGGACAGAATGACTATAAAGTAGCAGAACATCAGTCTTTGTTTAAACCAGGCTTGCTTTCCCATTTTTGAACTCTAGTACTTACTGCAGCACTGTTGTCCCGTTGTTCATTTATTTGCTCGAGCGGGCACCAGTAACGTCTCGTTTGTGAGACTAGTTGTTACTGATTTTGGCATATCGAATACGCCATGGGGAGCTTGCCAGGCTCTGCCTTGTGGGCAGGATACTCTTGGTAGCTTGCCAGGCTTTCCAAGAGGGACGAAAGAATCAAACTCAACTCGGCTACATGCAAGGCAAATTCTCCAACCCGGTGTGCTATTGCTCCAGCCCACTTAGAGTATTTTTATTTAGCTTTTGCTATGTATTGGCCTCCCATTGTGTTCATAACGTGTTTTATATAGCTATAGGAAATAAATGCAATCATTGCAGTTGGTCCACAGAGGGAGATAACATTGAAAAGCCAAACTTATAGAAAAAAAGTAAGAGAAACGAGCCTACTTACTGTACAAAACTCCCATACGTAACTTCAAGTTTCCCTGGTCTATGTTCTTTAAGCTCTCCATAGGTGGTCCCTCAGCTCTAAGGGTAAGGCTGAGGCTGAGAACTGCTACGGTTGTTCTGTTCGGTACATCCTGGAGAAAGACTGAGATCAGATTGGGTATTTCAGTGTCACCTAAGAGGATGGTCCTGATATCTGCATCAATCCCACCTCAGATCAGTGATATATTTTTCCTGTCTTAGGCACAGAGATGTACTTACTGACTCCCCACATTTAATATTTGGGATGTATTTTTCATTAATCCTATCAACTTGTAGACTCCTCTTTCCCTATATGCGTTGTAATTATTGTAAGATCATCTGTTTTGTCTTATGTTTAGTGAAATAAGTGTACATGTTGCTAGGGTGTGCTGAATTTAACAATATTGATGCTTTTGTCTTAATGGGGGTACTCAGAGTCCATAAACAACTTCAGGCTTATTCTTTTTTATCTCTCAGGGTAAACTTTGGAGGTCTTCTCTTTGCTATTGAAAAGTTCAAGACAAGATACCTTTCATTTTGAGCTTGTTTCATAAGGTGTCTTATGGCAGAATTAGAGAACTAATTTGCATAATTGAGAATTAAAGTATAGCTGATTACACACTAAATTGTATTTTATAAAGAACATAAAATTTTTATAACAAAATTTAAGAATTCATTAAAATCTTTTTATATGTCCCTTGCCAAAAGTTAAGTCTCCTGGATCTATATGTTTCTATGCCTGTTTTTCCTGTTAAGAGTATATCTTCTCATACCTGCCCAGTATTGTAGCCATTTGACACATGTCACCATTGAGCTCTTAATGTGGCTCATCTCAACTGAGACGTATTGTTAAATGTAACCCTCATGTTAAAGGAACTGGAAACTTAGTTCGGGGGTAAGGCACTTCTCTTGCATCTGACAAACCCTACTTTGACCCTCATACTGTGGGATCCTTGAGCAGTATTGATGGGATTGTAAATTGGTACAAAAACTGTGGAAAAACATTTAGAAATGGGTCAAGAGATAGTACATATATGTGTCTTATACATGTTTGGCCCAGATTCATTTTGATCCTCAGCATTGCATATGATCCCTGGAGCACTGCTAGAAATGATACCTGAGCACACAACCAGGAGTAATCCCTGGGTCATCACTGGATGTGGTTTAAAAAACAAAAACAAAAGTTTGTATGTTTTTAAAAATAAATACAATCACTTTAAAATCTAGCAAGTCTTCTTCTGGGTTTAGGACATAATCTTGAGGAAATATTTGCAATTTGCAAAGCCTTTTGAGGAAAGATGAAATTTTTTAGTTTGCTGCAACTTGGACAGAATTGGAGGGTGTTAGCTAAGTGAACTGAGTCAGAAGGTAAATGACAAATACCAAATGGCCTTGCTTATGTGTACAGTATAAAGAAACAACAGAATTAGAAAATACCCAATGCAAACAAACGCCAAGACATGATCAATAGAACTGAGAACTGGAGGGGTGGAGAAGGAGGTTGATGGGGGCCAGGGGTGGTGCTGGAGGCCTCTTGACACACTGGTGGAAGGATTAGTGTAAAATAGTTATTTTGATACTGTTATTGACTAGGATACTTCAATAAAATTTTAAAAGAAATTTTTGCATACTCATGTTCATTTCAGCATGATTCATAGTAACCAAGATGTGGACATGACTTAAATCTCTCGGCAAATGGATAAGTAGAGTGTGCTCTGTACGAGTAGTGCAATAGTACTCAGCCTTAAGAAAGAAGGAAAATCATGTCATATGCTACTTGATTGAAACTCGAAGCTAAGAGGCTTAGTGAAATGAACCAAACACAAAAGTATAAATAAATAATTGATTTATTATTTTACTTATATAAATATCTAAGATCACCAAAATTTGGAAGCAAAAGTAGAGTGTAGTTGCCAGGATCTGTGAGGAAGAGAAAAAAGGATGTTTTACTATGGTAGTGTTTCAGTTGTGCAAGAGGAAAATGTTTTGGAGACCTGTTTAACAATACTGAGCTTAAAAATTGGTACGAGGGGGATGGGGAGATAGTACAGAGGGCTAGAGGACATGTCTTGAATACGTGAAGCCCCGGTACAATTTGCAGCAATGCCTGTGACTGGTTCCCTGAGTACCATAGGCACTGCCAAGGTCAGTCACCCTGATGGTCTCGTCACTGCCAGGCCAGGCACCACTGCAGAGCTGAGCCTAAGCACCAAGTTGCTGGGCCTGTGTTCCCAGGCCAGTTATTGCCAGGAGTGGTCCCCAGAGCACACTGCCCCTCCACCCCTGTACCAATAACAAAATTAAGTGAATTATGAAGATACTTTTATGCTGTATTTTTGCTATAATAAAAAGTATCAGTTATCTTAATTTAGTAAATAGGTAAAATAGAATGAAATGAAATTAAAATGATGAAATAGAGCTTTAAAAACAATGGTGGTTTCACTTTCTAAAATATCTCTTTACGGGGAATTTTGTTGGAAGCTTTGCGCTAAATCAAGTCACATGTATTTGGATTGAAGCTGTGTGGTTGGTGAGAGGACTGGAATGTGTGATCCTTCTGATTTACTCAGTAGAGTGCAAAGTCTACTCATCAGGACACTCATGATGCAAAGCTACTTGTCCTAAAGCCAGGCTGCCTTCCAGAAGGAAGAGAAATGCTGGCAGCTTTTGAGGTGTCCATGCATCTGAAGGAAAGTTCCTCCTCCTTCCCTTGTATTCATACCCAAGAGCTGGAATTTAAACAACTCAATTTATTTTCCCTAAATCATTTTTGGAAAACCTAGGGAAGCTAATCATTGTAGGGTCTAGGTTGACAGGGTGTTTTCTGAGGCAGAGTGAAAACAACTTGCTTAGCCATAGGTATCCATACTCTCACTGGCTGTCTGGCAGCCAGTGATCTATTTGAGTAGGAAGTTCACCTACAGGAACTAGTAGATAGACGTGGGCTTATTTGAGGCATGGTTAGTTGGCTCTACTGCTGAGTTTGGCTTATGTGGAGGATTGGGACAAAAAAGGGTATTCGTAAAAAGCATCAGACGTCTCCCATCTTTCCAAATATGCTGAAAACAGAGAGCTGATCTGGTGAAACTGAAAGGAATCACATTCTTTCTTCTTTATACCCTTCTTGATATCTCATTTAGCCTATTACTAATTGTGGTTGCTTTTAGTATTTGCAATATGTTGGTTTATTTTTTAGTAATACTGGTTACAAAGCATTTCAAGTTCATAAAATGGAAACATCAGTATATGCACCACACACCTTAATAAAGAACTTTACAGGTACAGTTGAAGTCTACTTATATCTCTTTTGAGTAATAACCACCCTGCCCCCACCACCTCTCAAAGCAATGGTAACTGGCTATCTGAAATTTTGTATTCTTCCTTTCTAAGAAGTTTATACTTTCACGATGTAATAATATATTTCATGTATACTTCAACAGTGTTTATTTGCTTGTTACAGTCTCATTTTGAGTAGTATTTTACAAGTCTTTAAAAAATTCACTGGGCTTCTTAAACTCAGTTTAGGAAATTTCTTTCAGTGTTACGTAGATGCATTATTCTAGCATCAGGGTGAATTGTTACTGTTAAAAGCATTTGATCTCTTGGGGCTTGAGAGATAGCACAGCGGGTAGGGTGTTTGCCTTGCACGCGGTCAACCCAGGTTCAATTCCCAGCATACCATATGGTCCCAGGAGCACCACCAGTAGTAACTCCTGAGTGCAGAGTCAGGAGTAACCTCTGTGTATCGGCAGGTGTGACCCAAAAAGAAAAAAAAAGTATTTGGTCTCTGAAAATTAACTAGACGTGACTTATATTAAATAGTATATATATTTATCAGGTTAATAAATAGTTATAATATAGTTTGTTAATGTTTATTTTGTATCATCTTTTAATATAACTTCCCTTCTCATGCTTTTTTCTCTGCCCCTTCTTCCCATATCAACAGTAGAAGACAAAGAAAACATGTCAGGACACAAATGGTGAGTAATTTGTTGTCTTTTTTAAACTAAGGCTAATGAAAGAGTAGAGCACCTAGTATAAGCTCAGTAAATGTATGCTGAATGAAAATCATGTTAGTATCCAGTATTAAATAAAGTCAAGTTTAATATCCCTGCTAAAGAAAATGAAAACCAAATAACTGTTATTATTTCTCATACAATTCTCTAGTTGCTAGGAAATTCATTTACATGTTATTTTTTTAAAGTGTAATGATGGCTTTTCTTACAAGTATTTTTCCAATTATAATTGATACCTTAAAAAAATCATTATGAGGGTATGGTGCCTCCAGCAGGTCAATCTGTACCTGTGAGGCGTGTGCATCAACAGCCTGATGGTGCCTTCAGACTTCCAGATACCCCAGAATTGCTGCTCTGCCTTTGTCCAGACCCCAAAAACTTGGGGCAAAGTTTACCAAGAAAGTAAACGGCCAAAAGTTAGGTATGTGGGAAACACACCCACAAACCACCTCTGGCTCAGCTATATAATTGGAGGCATGGCCTCTCTGGTTCCTGATTGAACTGCTTAATGGCCATGATCCCAGAGACTCAGAAACAAATCTCGAAACCCAGCAGCTTTTGGCAGAAATGCGCCTGGTCCCTGCAGGAGGTTACCGGTGCTGGGCCAACCCAGGTGGGAATAGGTTTCATGCCTTGACCTGTTTCCCCTGGTGGCCCGGTGGACGCCATGCTCCAGAGAGAGTCAGGTTTGGACCCGCAGTGACGAGACATGTTGGGCCTCATGGGATGGGGTGGAGCTGGTCCTGTCCTGCCCACCCCAACGAGACCCCAAGTCATCACCCACAAATGGCCTCTCTGGCTCCTGATCAAGCTGCTTAACAGCCATGATCCCAGAGACTCAGAAACAAATCTCGAAACCCAGTGGCTTTTGGCAGAAATGCGTCCGGACCACGCAGTAGGTTACTGTCGCTGGGCCACCCCAGTGGGAAAGGGTGTTGTCCCTTTGCCTGCTTCCCCCTGGTGGCTTGGTGGCCGCCATCCTCCAGAGGCCATTGGACAGTCAGGTTTGGGCCCACAGTGACGAGACATTTTGGGCCTCACAGGATGGAGGTGGAGTCGGTCCTGTCCTCCTCACCCCAACGAGACCCCAAGTCATCATCCACAAACGGCCTCTTTGGCTCCTGATCAAGCTGCTTATAATGGCGATGATCCCAGAAACTCAGAAACAAATCTTGAAATCCATTGGCTTTTGGCAGAAATGTGTCCAGACCATGCAGTAGGTTACTGTCACCAGGCCACCCCACTGGGGAAAGGGTGTTGTCCCTCTGCCTGCTCTCCCCTGGTGGCTCGGTGGCCACCATCCTTCAGAGGCCATTGGACAGTCAGGCATGGGCCCACAGTGACAAAACTTTTTGGGCCTCACAGGAGGGAGGTGGAGCCGGTCCTTTCCTCCCTACCCCAACGAGACCCCAAGTCATCACCCACGAACGGCCTTTCTGGCTCCTGATCAAGCTGTTTAATGGCCATGATCCCAGAGACTCAGGAGCAAATCTCGGAACCCAGCAGGTTTTGGCAGAAATCCCTCCAGATTTAAGTGTTAAAATTTCAGAATTTCAAAATCGCGTGGCCACTACTGCAGCCACGCAACATCATATGTTATTCGTAACCAGCAGTAGAAAACAAATTGTCTACTGTTGCTTTTTCAGCAGATCTGAGTGTTGGAGTAAAATCTTGAATAATAATGGTGGGTCTGGTGTCAAAATATTGAATGTGATCAAAGTGGAGAGAGAGTAATGTGGAAATCATCTGCCCCATAGGTAGGGGGAGGGTATGGGATGGGAGTATACTGGGGTTGTTGGGGGTGGAGAATGGGCACTGGTGAAGATAAGGGTGTTTCATTGTATGACCGAGACTTAGACCTGAAAGCCTTGTAACTGCTCTCACGGTGATTCAATAAATAAAATTATAAAAAAATTTTAAAAAGTAAGGTGGAATTCATGCACAATTCAGTCAGCTAATCAGTGACTGAGTAAATAGCAGTACTCCTACATAAAAAATAATCATTACTGGGGCCAGAGTGATAGGGCATCTAGGTCCTTGAACACAGCTGCCAGGAGTTCAATCCCGGGAATCTCATATGGTCCCAAGCACACTGTCAGGGATGTTACCTGAGTACAGGGCCTCCCTAAGCCCCACCAGATGTTGCCCTGAGGAGGATAACAATCAAATAATTAACTAATGCACAGCTTGTATTCATAAAGGTATAACCTTAACCTTCAGAAACATTTAAAAACTGAATGTCTTAAAAGTAGATGATGTTGAATAAAATAAAGATTAAATCCAAGCAGCATGTTCATCCTCTTACAAAGATTTTCAAGCCATGTTTCTGAATCCTTTGTTCCATGGCCTTCAGAGATTTTTGTCACATTTTATCTACTTTGTATTAAAAATTTTGGTTTATAATTTTATTTTCAAATGTATAATTACTTTAATTTCACATGCCTTTTAGTACTGAGAGGTCAGTAGAGAAGCAGAGAGCTCAGTCCTCTTAATAGCAAATATAAAACTTCAAAATATTTTTGCATTTCTTAAAATGAAATGCATTTGGAGGTAAGTAAATCATGGCTAGAGGGTTTAGCACCTCTGAGTGTGCCCATTTGAAAGCTTCAACCAAGACATCAGGCTGTTAACGTTTCATTTTTCCTCATTAAGAAAAGGAGATGACTTTACCATGTGATAATGTGTTAATGTGTTAACTAATATAAAAATACTCATATTAGTAGGGAGTCACCCAACTAAAAGAGATCAGAGAGCCACAATAAATGGACCCTTCACCCAAATCTTTATTCTACTCACTCTTCCATGTTAGCACTTGATGCTGAAATGCAAGAGAGCATTGAAATGGGTACTGTCCTGGGATTTAGGGGCTGCATTTTAATTCTGTGTATTTTGGGGCCAGATTCTTAATCTAAAAACCTGAGATTTCTCACTTGTTAATGATAGGAGTCATGCATGTTCACTAGATCTCTAATCTATTTCATCGACTTTTTTTTTTTAAGTCTGGAACCTGTGACCAAAAACAATGACACTGCAAAATATACCCTATGTTCTTGAAATGCCCATACTCCTAAAAAAAATTGGGGGCGTGGTTGAGGGGTTATTTCTAAACTTTTCATGTAAATACTATAAAGAGATTATATTTTACATAGGTTGTACATGTTTTCCTCCTATTTCCTCTGGTGCAGATGCATAATAAAACTTTATGTTTGTGATGCCTGGGATTGAATTACAAAAACATCTTTTAAATAATGCAGAAACCACCTTAAATATTCTTTCTTTTTTTTAATAATTTATTTATTTATTGAATCACTGTGGGAAAAGTTACAGAGCTTTCAGGTTTAGGTCTCAGTCATGCAAATATCAAACACATTTCCCTTTACCAATACTTATTTTTAACCGCGAACCCCAATAGAACCCCACCTCGCACCCCTCCCAATTTTACGACCCCCCCCAAATCAGACATCCTGAAAAAGTGTTGTGAAATGATTTGCTTTCTACAGCTGGGTTTAAGAATTAAATGATGTTGTGTGGCCGCGATAGCGGCCATGCGGTTTTGGATTTCTGCTATTTTACTTATTAACCCTGGAAGTATTTCTATTAAAAGTTAGATAGTTAAGAGATTGGTTTCTGTGCTCTGGAGTTGTGGCCATGCCGGAGAGCCGCTCGTGGGGGGCAGCTGGTGACCTCGGTTGGGCGTGAAGGACGGACCGGAATGCCCCCCTTCCCATGAGGTCCCTGCCGCCCCCGACCCCCGGCTCAAACCTGCTGTCCACAAGGCTCCCATGGGGCCGCCATCTTTCTTTCCAGAGAGGAGAGGGCGAATGGGGTAACACCCTTTCCCCTCCGGGCAGGCATGATGGCGCTGTTTAACACATAGTCCATTCGCTTTTCTGCTCCAAGCGGCTGGTTTTCTGCGCTAAGTCCTTGTGCTTCTGGGGCCGTGGCCGTGCCGGAGAGCCGCTTGTGGGGGGAACTAGTGACCTCGGTAGGGTGTGAAGGATGGACCAGAACGCCCCCTTCCCATGAGGTCCCTGCTGCCCCCGACCCCTGGCTCAAAACTGCTGTCCACAAGGCTCCCGTGCGGCCGCCATCTTTCCCTTAAATATTCTTTCTTTGTAAAGAACTTTTACTAAAAAAATCATCTGAAACCCTTACTCATCTTTAAGAATAAATATGTGAACTGCATATTGTAAATTCTTCTAAGAAGAGTGTAAATTTTCAGGTATGGAGATAGAGGCATTTTAAAACTAAAAGTTGAAAGCAAATGTCTTTTGTTTGTTTTGGGGCCACACCTGGTGGTTCTCAAAGTTTCGGGCAGGCAGAAGAGTAAAATCCACATGGGGAGGGACAGAGTGCCATTGGCAAACTTCGTGTCAATATTTGGGGTACTCCAGCCACTTTTACAGATTACTGTTTTCTCAGTAATTCTCCAATTTCTTCATGAATACTATTTATTTTCCTTTGGAACTTTAAAAATAGAAAGACCTCCCAAGCAGTGTTGCAGCGTCACATAGCAGTGTTTGGGGGGCATCAGAGCTACATGCAGTAGCGCTGGGGATCCAGTTATGTGGTATGATGGAGTAAATTTGAGTCCCCAAACATTCATGACATGTACTGCTGACCATGTACCCATTTCCCCAATACACCCCCCCCCACACACACACAAAATCCATATTTTGAATCAAAGTCTTTCACAAACCTTGAAAAACTATTTTTTACTGAAAAAGGAACATTTTCAAATATTTTACACAAGAATGATGTGCAGAAATAAGGCATGGCTATATCATATGTATTTCTTATCTGCACAAAATTTGGATTTAAGAATATACAACCAATATATATCAGTATGTTCTTTTAAGAGGGGATAGAATTAAGTATCAGACATAATCATATCAGTTTTGGGCCAAATACTAAATGCTTATTTAAAGTCCCCCTTTTTTTGCTTTTTTGAGGTCACACCAGCATTGCGCAGGGGTTACTTCTGGCTTTGCACTCAGGAATTACTCCTGGCCGTGCTTGGGGGACCATGTGGGATGCTGGGAATCAAACCCGGGTCAGCTACGTGCAAGACAAACACCTTACCCTCTGTACTATTGCTCCAGCCCCTAAAGCCCTTCGCTAAGGAATTTTAGCCCTGCAATAAGTGATCCCTGAGAACAGAGACAGAAAAAAGCTCAGAACACCTCGGAGTATGGCTTCAAAACTAAAAAAAAAAAATATTAAAAATAAAAGATTACATTAAATGAGTTGTTCTCATTATTTTTATGCATAGTTAAAATATTTGAAATGCAATTTTTATATACACAAACATACTTTTTCATTTTGTAATTTTCAAACTCTTTAGAGGATAAAAAATAATCATAGCAGAAAATGAATAATGCAAGTTCCAGGGCCTATAAAATAAAATGTACAAGCATAAGAATATGAGAATTACATCTTGGATAAGTTTGTTTTCCATTATGTTTTTTTCTAAAGAATGGCTTCTGTATATAAGCATTTGTTTATAAATGTAAAGTTTACATATCAAAAAATCTAGCGTTTTAAAATTTTTTTAAATTCAAATTTTTAATATGCTAAGAACACTCGATCTACCTTCTTCACAAGTTTTTCATTTGAACAGCGTTGTACTAACTATAGGCGTAATATTGTACTAATGTTTCTAGAATTTATTCAGCCTTAGTAATTGAAACTTTATTTCCTTCCATAAGCAAATTCCCATTCCCCCCTTCCTTTCTACCTCTGGTAACCATTCTCCTCTCTGATTCTGTAAGTTTCATTTGTTAGGTACCTCTGTGACAGATTTTAAGTATGCTATTTTTCAGCTCTTATCTCAGCTTTTCTGCCATCACTTCAGTGGTGGCTGAATTGTTGGGAGTGGAGAGAACACTGGTGTTTGGCTTTATCTCTGACTCACTGGGGTAATGAGCCAGCCACCCAGCTGACTGGGTCTTAAGTTGTCCACTTCTGGAAGGTGTGCATCCAATCTGTTATCTGAACTCTCTTCTTAGTTTAAGCCAGCGAAAAAAGTTTGATTTCCTCACTAACTTACAAGATTTTAGGGAAAAAATTAGCATTTTTTAACATATTTTTTCAATAATCATGTAAGAAAGGACTTATAGGGGTTGGAGAGTGATGGCTCAAAGGTCCAGTGGGCATGCGGAAAGCCTGGGTTTGATCCATAGCACCTCATGCCCCCCCCCCCACCCCGTCTCCCCACCCAGCGTCAGCAGCAAGAGTGGTGTTTTTATATAACCCATTAGGCATTGCCTTCAAAAACAGTGGGTGTAGTTCCAAAATTGAGAAAACGTATTTCATACTTACTCATGTTATATGTGACTAGATAAGTTTATTCATAGTGGAACATCTTAATCTATGAAAGTCACGGCTAAATCAACTCTAAAAATGTATCTTTAGCAGCTATCCCTGGGACATGCAGGATCGATATGCTCAAGATAAGTCAGTTGTAAATAAGATGCAGCAGAAGTATTGGGAAACAAAACAGGCATTCATTAAAGCCACAGGGAAGAAGGAAGATGAACACGTTGTTGCATCTGATGCAGATCTGGATGCCAAGCTGGAGGTGAGTGCTTCATTGCTGAGAGTCCCTGTGCTGTGATCTTGCAGGCAACCATAAAGAAGTTATATTTGACAGTGTATGCACTCAAACACCCCTGAGTAAAATGGAGGATCGTATCAACTCAATCTGCATTTATTTTCAACTTCAAAATTCTCCATAGCTACCAATAAATCTCAGTTCATTTTTCAAGCACTTTGTTGGAATGCATGTCATGTGGCAAATTATCAACACAAGTTTTTTTTGAATTAATGCAAAGTGTTAACAATAGTGATATCAATACTAGAGTGAGCAAATTTTTACATTAAAAAGGGGGGGTGGAAAGGATGGCATTTCAAACTTCCATAAAACAGAATCCAATAAGTTTGGTATTCAAAAAAATTCTAGAATGAAACGAGCAGGCAGGTATTTGATTAGACTAGTTAATATTAAAATGTGTGGAATTCATATATGAATGATCCTAAAGTATAACTGGTAGAAAATACACTAGTACCTTGCCTTATAGATACTTCCATCAATATATTAAAATAGCAAAAGCATACTTACCACTTCTTAGTATACGAGGGCACTGAGAGAAGAAATATGTTGCATGCCCTGATAAGAATTAGAATTTCCTGTGAACTTAAAGACATAAGCTAAGGGGCTGCCTGCACATTTAATAAGAAAAACTAGATTTCAAAAAGTCTTCTGAGAAGGGTGGAAACTGTAGTTACTTCAGAACAGAGATGGTTTAAGAAGACGTGTTGGTTGTCGATTATATAAGAAAGCCTGTCTTGTGGAAAAGGATAAGATTTGTTCTAAAGATGTGAAGGCAGAATCCGGATGAGGACTAATGTTCATAGTAATTGTTCTCTCGTGGAATTATCTCAAATGTTTATTTGTCCTACTCTGCTGCACCACCTCTCAGAGGTCAAATTCCACTTCAGCTTTATTCATAATTGTACCCTCAACCAGATACACCCTAAACATTCAGTCAGGATTAACTGAACAAAGTATACAAGTTAATGCAACTAATACTAATTTGATACCCTTTTTCTGTCATTGGCATTACTCCCATAGAGGAAACTGGGTTTCACGGGTTTGTTCTAGTAAAGATTATTGCAGTGGAGAATAGTAGAACCAGAGGCAAATATTATAATTTTTTTGTATTTTAAATAGAGTTGAAGTGATACTCATGATATTCATATCTAACAGGATTGTTTTCATTTAGGAATCTGATTAATATAAACATTAGTGTATAAAAAAACATCGTGTTGATTATTAGTACATTAAACAAGATAGAGTAATTTTATACTTATATTTTGATTCTTACAGCAGTATTTTTACTAAACCAACTATTCTTTAATGAACCTAACTGCTATTATAGGAACCTGGTATCCAAAGTACTTAATTATGACTAAATTTTACATATTAGAGAAGTGTTTGTTGAAGAATAATTATTGATATGTGAGAGAAAGATTTCATCAATTAAAATATAAAATAACAAAAACAATTTTGATATGTTCTTATATCAAAGGTTAACTGCTAAAATAGAACATTAATTTTGCTAAAACAGAGAGCTTTAAAAATTTTTTCCCGTTATTTAAACACTCTGGTTTACAAGTTGCTCATGATTCATTTGTTATAGGCATTCAATAGTCCAACATCAATCCCACCACCAGTGTGACCATCCCTCACTCTTGTTCCCATTTTCCCAATCACCCCCCAAGCTTGCCCTTACTAGGTACAAAATAATTTATTTCATATTACTTGTTACAACTAAATGGCTATTGGAATTAACAGAAAAATACTTCAATAAGAGAAAATTTGTTATATCTCACCAGGAGGTCATTAAATCCTGCCCAAGTGTTTACTAAGCTGTTGTAGCTGTTGAAGAACCTTTTGTGTTAATGTTTTTTGTTTATTGAGTTTAGTTGGCTTCTATTTTACTTTACCATCTAATTCAGTATGTTCCTACTGGTACGTAAGTTGTAAAGAATTTGAAGTTGTTGTATGGCTGAAAATGTGGCCAGATGCTCCACAAAGCAGAGAATGTTTAAATGGGCCATGAGTTTACATGGCAGCAGTTGTGGGATGCGGATATGGCTGTTGGGGCTTCCAGAAGTATGGGGTGGTGGGGGCAGGGGAGGCTGCTTGTCCCCATTCCAAAAAGACCCTAGAGTTCTTAGCCTGAAGACCATGAACCTGGAATTTTTTGGCAGTTTGTCATCTCTACAGAGGTTAGTCATGGGACATTGGAGTTGGGCTTTTGGCATTGCAGCAGCTGTGGGATGTGAGTGCGGCTTCTGGGGCTTCCGCAGAACAGTGACTCAGCCCACCTCATTCCCGAGGCAACCCCAGAGTTTTCAGGAGACTGTGTAGCCATGAATTTTTGTGGCCAGTTAATCTCTTCTAAGATTTAATTGTGAGTCTGTAAAGCTGGGCTGATGGATGAGCTTACATAGCAGTTGTGGCCACAGAAAGCTTTTGTGTTGAGTATTATAAGGTACCATTTTATCACAATTTATTAGCACTGTAGCACTGTCCTCCCATTGTTCATCAATTTGTACAAGCGGGCACCAGTAACATCTCACAACAAATTGTGAAACTTTTTGTCACTGTTTTTGGCATATCGAATATGACATGGGTAGCTTGCCAGGCTTTGCCGTGCAGGTGAGATAATCTTGGTAGCTTTCTGGGCTCTCTGAGAGGGTGGGAGGAATCAAACCTGGATCAGCTGCATGCAAGGCAAATGCCCTACCCACTGTGCTATCGCTCCAGCTCATCACAATTTTTAGTAAGTTAATAAGTTAATATAAAACTGTTGCACTTATTCATAGAATTATTTTCTCAAGATCAGCTAATTTATCTAAGGGCTGACAAATTTCTGGTGACAAGTCTTAGTGATAGTTATTGTGACGATGAAAATGTTTACCTTTGGGGGGTGTGATACAAGATTGTATACAATTGTGAAAATTCACTCTACTGAACACCCCCAAAAGTACATTTTATTGCATAAATATATAGTGCCTTAGTTTTAAAAATCAAGCAGTCACAACAAAATAGCTTCTAAATATTCCTTTTGAGCTGCTTCGCTCATACCTTCAGTGATTGCTAATTATTGGTGTCTTGTGACCCAGGATATTCCCTATCAAGCATTTGCTAAGGATCAGAGTCAGATGTTGATTTTTTTGTCTCTTACGATGAAGGGAGCTCTTTCCTAAACTGTTGATGATCCAGTGTAATGAAATTATACTAAAATTTATGTTTTTCATGACCCAGTTTTATCATAATTAGCATAATGATCACAACTCTATGCATCTACTTTAATGAAATCATTAGTCATATTTATTTGAAAGCAAATAATCATTTAACTTCAATCGTAAAGTCATTTTGATACTGGAATATAATCACTATATCACCATGACTACTAGTAAACTAGGAGACAGGAAATGGAAAACCTTGCTTTTAAGAGGCAGAAAGTTTGCTGTGTTTTTAGCTGACAACCATCCTGGTCTCTGAGTGAGTGGACAGAGAATAGGGAAAGCATATAGCATATGTTTTTTCTCTCCTTGAACTGCCTCAGTCCAAGGATCAATGTAACTTAAAATCTAGTTATTTCTTGTAACTTAAAATCTAGTTATTTCTTATCAGTACAGCCCACATGCTTTTCCCTTAATTTCATCAGTTATGGTCATAGTATGGCACTAGATATTTTCTTTCTATAACATATGAAATCATTGGGTAAAAATAAGGAGTAATAGGGGCTGCTAGCTAAACACTGTTTTGCCAGATGCCTTCTAAATGGACAGACATTCAGCTGATTTTTGTTTGCTTTTTATTGAATTGTTTAAGCCTGCCATAAAATACATTAAGATGGCAAAATAAGCTAATGTTCTATCTTCAAAATGACCCTTAATTGACAGACCCTCCATTAAAAGAAAAAGAAAAGATAGCAAGTGGTAAAAGAAATTAGATTTTAAATGAATGTTGGGTCTCTGGTTTACCAGTCCTTAATTGGTCCCTTCACTTAGGATCTCTATTTTTCAGCTATTACTTCAGTCTGGAGGAAATCATTGTTCTCTGGATCTTAATTTAGATAATGAATTCCAATAAATACAAAACAATAGGAGCATATTGAGAGGCATTGGTCAGTTTCTGTGAAGTTCTCCACAATCCAGCATGTAGTCTTAGTTTTGGTAGGCAGATCAAACTCTCTGGTTATGTTTAGTAAAATTATTTCACCACTGTTTCATTTATTATTTTGTCTTTATTTTTATTACAGCTCTTTCACTCGATTCAAAGAACCTGTTTGGACTTGTCTAAAGCAATTGTACTCTATCAAAAGAGAATATGTTGTAAGTACTTCATTAGTGTGAATATTGGTAAGACATACATTGCATTACCATATTATTTCATATGGTTAAGAAGCACAGGAAGGAAAGTACTATTTATTTATTTTTTAAATTTTTATTAGTGAAACACCATGAGGTACAGTTGTAGACTTACAAATTTTTGTGCTTTGTTTCAGTTATACAATTATTGAATACCCATCCCTCCACCAGTGCCCATTCTCCACCACCACTGATCCAGTATCTTTCTCACCCCCATCCCCCCCATCCTACCTTGCCTCTGTGGCAGGGCACTCCCATTTGTTCGCTCTCCTTTCGGGTGCTGTGGTTTGCAAAAGAGGCATTGAGTGGCAATCATGTTCGGTCTATAGTCTACTTTCAGCATGCTTCTCCCATCCTGGGAGGATCCTCCCAATACCCTTTATTTGGTGCTCTCTTCTCTATCTGAGCTGCATTTTCCCCTACCATGTGCAGCTGGCCTCCAGGCCATGGAGTAAACCTCCTGGTACATATCTCGGCTGTTCTTGGGTGTTAGTCTCCTATTTTGTTACTGTATGTTCCCCAGATGAATGCAATCTTTCTATGTCTCTCCCTCTCTTTCTGACTCATTTTTCTTAGCATACTTTCCATGTAGTACCACTTGTATGTAAATTTCATGACTTCATCTTTTCTAACAGCTACATAGTACTCCATTGTGTAGATGTACCAAAGTTTCTTTAACCAGTCATCTATTCTCAGGCACTCAGGTTTTTTCCAGATTCTAGCTATTGTAAAGATTGCTGCAATGAACAAACAAGTGCAGATGTCACTTTATTATACTTTTTTGCCTCTCTGGGATATATTCCCAGGAGTGGTATTGCTGGGTCAAATGGGAGCTCAATTTCTAATTTTTTGAGAATCGTCCATACTGTTTTCCAGAAAGGCTGAACCAGTCGACATTCCCACCAACAGTGAAACCGTGTCCCTTTCTCGCCACATCTGCGCCAGCATCAGTTGCTTTTGTTCTTTTTGATGTGGGCCAGTCTCTGTGGTGTGAAATGGTATCTGTTGTTGTTTTGATCTGCGTCTCCCTGATGATTAATGATGTAGAGCATTTTCTCATGTGCCTTTTAGCTATTCGGATTTCTTCTTTGAGAAAATTTCTGTTCATTTTGTCGCCCCATTTTTTGATGGAGTTGGATGTTTTCTTCTTGTGGAGCTCAACCAGTACTTTGTATATCCTTAATATCAACCCCTTGTCGGATGTGTGTTTGGTGAATATCCTTTCCCATTATGTAGACTGTCTTTGTATTTTGGTCACTGTTTCTTTTGAGGTGCAGAAGCTTGTTAGTTTAAGATAGTCCCATTTGTCTTTCTCTGTTTTCACTTGCTTGGCCAGTGGTGTGACATCTTTGAAGATACCATTAGCTTCAATGTCATGGAGGGCTTTGCCAATTTTGTCTTCAATGTACCTTGAGGTCTTTAATCCATTTTGATCTTACTTTTGTACATGGTGTTAGGCAGAGATCTGAGCCCATATTTTTGCATGTAGCTGTCCAGTTTTGCCAGCACAATTTGTTAAAGAACTTAAAGAAAGTACTATTTAGAAGGATCTGTCTTTGCCCCTTTTTTTTTGTAGTGGGGAAGGGTAATAATTTCATCAGAAATCCTTTACAAAAATTTTTATATTTAATGCAATCTTTAGGATATAAGCATTTTTAAATTGTGTCTCCCATGGATAAGTATAAGCCATTTATTTTCCTAGTTATAAGGCAAGTTTTCTCAGTTTTATGTCGGACTTTGAAATTTGGGGACTTTTTAATCACTCTATTCATATTAGGCATCACACCCCACTGGAGCTCAAGTCCCAGGGCTGCTTCCAGCAATGCTTGATCCTGTGTTGAGGTACAGGAGACTGAGCATGCCCTGCCATGGGACAAACTCAGGGCCTCACCCGGGCTGGACTTATTCTCGTACACTGAAGCGATCTCCGTGGCCCTCACTCAGCTCTCTTATGATTAGTTCTGTTTCTTTATTTATTTTTTGTTTTGTTTTGTGGGCTAAGCCTGGTGGTACTTGCTCAGGATTTCCTCCTGCTTCTTTGCTCAGGGGTATTTGTGGGACCACATGTGGTACTAGGGACCAATCCAACGTTAGTTGCTAATAAGGCAAGTGTCTGACCTGCTGTGCTATCTCTCCACCCCCATATTTCTTTTTAAATTACTTAATGAAAATAGACATAGACAGGTAACTAACTGATTATATTTTAAAATCCCTGACAGTATTCTGAGTGTTAGAAAGACTGAGGATCTGTCATTCACTGAAGGAGACTTGATAGCCCAGTGTCATGTGGGATCATGGAATTACTATGAAAAAACTAAAAGGACTTTAATGGGAAAACTAGTACAATTCAAGCATGATAGTAAATTAATTAACAGTAGCACTGTAGCACTGTCCTCCCATTGTTCATCGATTTGCTTGAGCGGGCTCAGTAACACCTCCATTGTGAGACTTGTTACTGTGTTTGGCATATCGAATACATCGCAGGTAGCTTGCCAACCAATATCTATTTTCTAGTTTTGGTAATTGTACCATGGTTACAGATGATACTACGAGAGAGAGCTAAAGCTCATAAAGAAATTTTGTATTCTATTTACTGTGCTCATATAAGCTCATAATTATTTAAAAATAAAAATGCATAAAAATGTGCATTTGTGTTAATGCATTAGATTATATTGCTTTTCTGCTGAAAAAAAGTCCCAAGTGACCAAGAAGTCTGTGTCTGAATGTCCAAGAAAAGTATTCAAATGTCCTTTAAATTCCAGTTTCCATACTATAACTTATAAATTTCTACATAATTGGTACAGTTCACATTTTCTTGTTTTGCTTTTTGTTTTTGGTTTGGGGGCTCTGCACTCAAGGTACATTCTTGGATTTTGGAGGACCATATGGGATTCTGGGAATCCTGCCTGGGTTGGCTGCATGCTAGCTACCTATTATATTATCTATCTGGCCCCTTATTTTTGTTGTTGTTTTGGGACCACAATGTCTAAGATCAGGCCTTATTCCTGGCTCTGTGCTCAGAGATCACTCCTGGCAGGACTACCAGGATCATATGGGATGCAGGAAATCAGACTGAACCCAAGTTGGCTATGTGCAAAGCAAGCTCCCTACCCACTGTACTGTCACTCTGGCCCCTAGCTCCCTTTTTCTGTTTTTTTTTTTTAATTTTTGGTTTTTTTTTTTTTTTGTCCTTTCCACCATTCTGAGGCCTTTTGCACTCCTTGTTACTTCTTCTTAGAATGTCCCTTTCCTAATCCTCCAAGGGGGATCCTTCATAGTCACCTGTGCAGAGATGCCGTGAACAGAGAAAGTACTGATGATTCTCTCTATTCTCTCTTTGATTTCCCTAACATTTTCTCTATGTGTGTTTTTCTATCATGTGTTTTTGCTTTCTATTTCCTTCTCCTAGAACACAAGCTCCATTAGAGCAAAGACCTTGTGCAGCTTATTCATATCTCTATTTCCAGGGCCATTCATAGGGCCTAGTATGAATTCAATTGTTAATCTATTCAGAATGAATTAATGCAGCCATACTAATTGGTTTTAAAGTTTTTCTGTTAATTTTTAAGGGCACATCTGAAAATTTCATAAGTTATATTTGAGTGTGTGTGTGTGTGTGTGTGTGTGCAAGTGTATGCCTCTGTATGTGTGTACATGGGAACATGGGGTTAGGGCCATACCCTAGGGTGCTTGGACTATTCCTGACTCTCTGCTCAGGAATTACTCCTGTTGGTAGTCTGGGGACCCTTTGCAGTGCTGAAGATTGAACCAGGGTCAGCCACATGCAAGGCAAGAGCTGTATCACCTGTTCTATCCCTTCAGCCTGACATAGGAACATTTTGTCTCTAAATTTTTTTTTGCTTTTTGGGTCACGCCCGGTGATACACAGGGGTTACTCCTGGCTCTGTGCTCATGGAACCATGTGAGATGCTGGGAATCGAACCCGGGTTGGCCGTGTGCAAGGCAAAAACCCTACCCGCTGTGCTATAGCTCCAGCCCCATTGTCTCTAAATTCTTAACTTCAAGTTACCTGAAACATTTTAAGTAAAAATTTTGAGTTCTGTGGGTTGAACCTGAATGTTAAAGTTCTATAAATTCATCTCAGTAATTTAATTTTAAAATTAAAATGAAGAGATCACCATCCTTTCTCAGAAAATAATGGTCATCACTAAGCTTGGGCTTTTGCCACCACCCATTGAATGGCTCTGCCTGTCTAGCTCTTTAAGTGAAAATCTGTTAAGTCCAAAGTCTATTAAAAGAAAAAGCCAAAATTGATTTAACAATTCAGCGCACTTAGGTTTATTTAGAAAAAGATCTAGGAAAGGAGTATATTTTTCCAAACCTATAATCAGGTAACTGAAGTTCATTTCTCCCTAGCCTGAAGCAAAATGTGTTCATTTGTATGTGAATTGAGTCTTCAGGGTAAAAAAAGCTGATGATGGGCTTGTGCATTATAAATAAAATGTGAAATTGCTCCATAGGGAAAGATTCATTTATAGAACTGAGTGCATTCCATATCGGTAAGTGGAGAGGAATGGAAGGAAGGAATTAAAAACAAAACCATGTTCTATCATTACAGGAAATTTTTAAGTGGTGTCGAACCATGGCATAAAGTATTAAATAAGCATTTGAAGTAAAATTTAGTGTATGGGGATAAAAGGCAAAAATTATAATTAATTCCATCTCATGAGCATTTAATTAGTGGCCTGAATGAGACTTCATATTTTGCATGGGAAATCCCTGGTTTGGATGAGGTTCTTGTTAGGTACAAGGTTAGTCTCATGGGAACAACCAACTCTCTCTGACATGCCTGCTGAGAGGCACTTCTCCTTGAAGCCAAGGAGAAACAGGTCAGCTCATTAACAGAGGTCATAGCTTTGGGGCTTGACTTTGACCAATAAATTGAATTTTGAGAGACCAATGAGGAGAGAGAATGGTCCTTCATCTCTTAGGAAGACCGGATTCTAAGAACTCTCTGTGCTGAAATGTAGAATTGTAAGCTGATAAGGAAGCAAGAGCTGGCTCGGCTGCCATCTTTGGGTTTGTGCTTCCTGTAACATGGCTGTTGCATTTTAACCACATTTTTAGAGGCATTGGTATGAAGCACGTCAACACAGAAGAGTGGAATAAGAGCAAAAGTTCAAAATGTGTCTCTGGTAAACTTTGTGTTTAAAGAATTTTACCTTCTTGGAAGTTCTGTGTCACTTCTGGGGTTGTGTGTGTTGGTAGCCAGTGATTGAATAAAAGCCTGCTGTTCCATTGAATGAATACACTGTGTTGTATTCAGTCAGTCCCCACTCTAAGGAGAGATTGTTTGGCTATTCTAAATAATGATGTTAAAATTATCCTTGTATGTGCATATTTTGTGCCCATTTTACTACTTAGCACATACATCTAATAGACATGAAATACGAGGCTGGAGAGGTAGTATAAATAGAGGTTAAGTGCTTGTCTCACCTGCATCTGATCCTCAGTTCAGTCCCCGGCACCATGTATGACCCCCAGTGCACCAGCAAGAGTGACCCTGAGAGAAGAGCCGGGAATATCCCCTGAGCACTGCTGGATGATACCCTCAACCTGTAAACAAATAAATAAATATAAATGCAATGTCAAAAGATTCATACAATTCTATGACCTGTTATACTTACTGTCACATCTATCTGTAGAAAACTTGTCCCAGTCATTATCTCACAATAGTGTTCTCTGAGGTTCATTTAAATAAAATAAATAAATAAATAAATAAATAAATAAATAAGCAGCAAGCTCAGACATAACCAATTTAGGTTTTCTTCTGGCTCTGTACTTAGAGTATTTGCCTAATCATCAACCTACTTCCATATCGACTATCGATTCCTATCCCACCTCCAACCAAAAAACCTATATCATAGATAATAAAGTATTTTAAGTGACTTGCAATTTAATTGAAAGTTCAGAAAGCAGAGATAAAAAAATTTGAAGAGAGAAAAATAGGAGTAAACTGAACCTACATTGTATACAGTCATGAAAGAATCCCAGAAATCCCAGAGTTGTACTTGACAAACACAAATCCAACTTTTCCATTTCAGCTTCGAAGGAGCACATTATCAGCTCATTTTTTATTGCAGAGGTCATTTTCTGGTTCTGATTACAGGGCGCCAAACACACTGACAGATGTACTCTAGTAAATTTGATCTCTGATTTTGTAAATGGAAGAACAGGATAAAAGTTAAATAGTATTTGATCATTGTATGATTGAAACCCAAGCACAAAAATTTGTAAGTCTGCAACTGAACCTCATGATGTCTCACTAATAAAAAAAATATATATATATATATATTTTAAAAAAAGTTAAATAGGTTGACAGGAAGAACTTACCTTGTAGCTAGCCAGTTGGATTTAATGTCACCTCATCTTTGCCTATGGAAGAAAGAAAACTTTGTGATTTCTCTCTCCTCCTCTATAAGAATCATGCTTGTCATTCATGGCTCCTTTTGGTCTTTTCCTCAACAGTCTTGTCTCAAGAAGAAAATGAACTAGGAAAATTTCTCCGATCCCAAGGCTTCCAAGATAAAACCAGAGCAGGAAAAATGATGCAAGCAACAGGAAAGGCCCTCTGCTTTTCTTCCCAGCAAAGGTGTGTGGCCTTTATTGACTTTCTCTTTGGGGGTGTAGGCAAAGAATCTGGGACCCACTAACTCACGAAGAAGAATCTAGCCAGGTTCTCTAGAAATTTCTTCCTTGAGACTAAGGAAATACTCAGTTCTCAGTTATTAGTCTGTTGTTTATCCTAACTCTCTGATTAAGGTAAAGTGTACGTTGTTTCCTCCCTATTAATTTTCATAGTTCTTTAGACCATTAGGGGCATTTCATATTCCATTCACTGTGCATGGTGTCCTAGACTTGTATTTGACCTTCAGTATTGCTCAGGCAATTAGTCTGCTCCTCTAATCTGAGCCTCTTCCCGGAGCTGATTAAAGCAAAGCCCGATGAGACCAGGTGGAAGGATTCTTGCTGTGTTCTCTGAGGGCCAATTAACTTTAGAATGGTGGTGTTCAAGATTCCCTGAATCATTCTGCTTAGTCCATGGACCAGTAACATCAGGATCATGTGGTAGCTTATTGAAAATGCAGAATGCTGGTCCCACCCCCAAAATGCTGAATCCAATCTGCATTTAAATGAGATCCACAGGGGATTTTGAGGCACATTCAAATTTGAGAATTTCTGGTGCCAAGAAAATTGGGGTAGATCATGATTTTAGCGTCACCCATCAGTCATCTTGCCATATATATATATATACATATATATATATATATATATATGAGCTCTTGAATAAAGCTGCATTTTGTTTCTGAAAAAAATGACATTCATTGTCTCGTCCTCTTTTCTCAGTAACTTACAAGTCCTCCCAAATGTCATTATCATATATTGAGTACAGGAATCATATCCAGATAAGACTTGTCAATACTTTCTGAAAGTATTCAGGTTATAAAAATGTCATCTAAACAGATGTTCCAGTATATTATTCTTATGTTAATTTTTACTCACTGAGTGTTTCTTCTAATGGGCCAGGAGTGTTCTACTAAAACCTATGCAAGGTGGAGTAAAAAAAGAAACAATTATGTCAATGTTTCAGTGATTTTATCCTCTTTTGAGTGTTTAGGTTCTTCTAATGACATTTGAGTCCTGGTTTTGTGGGTAATATCACTTTGCATATTTGAAAATATTCCAATTTTTATATAAAGTCTTTTATGATCTTTAATTTTGCCTTTAAGTTTTACAACTGGTTTTTTTAAAAAAATAGTACAAACTCATACTAGAAAAATGGAAAAAGTGATGAGCCAAAAGTACACAGAAAAGGGAAACAATGAGAACATTAAAGTTTACTAACAATAATGTGTATGTTTCACACACTTTAAAGGATAGTTGGTTATTGAAAAATATTTTTAATGCTCATCTGTTGAATATATAGTTATTGATAATTTCAGTTGAAAAATTTCTGTTTATAATTACATATCAAAATTACATTGATTTAATGGGAAACAAAATCAAATTCCAGGTAGTTGTTCTATAATTGCAATCAGTAATTCCATTAATCTTTTTTTATGTAGGAGTACTGCTATTTATTCAGCCACTGATTAGCTGATTGAATTGGGCATGAACTCCACCTTACTTTTTTTTTCATTTTTTTATAATTTTATTTATTGAATCACCATGAGAGCAGTTACAAAGTTTTCGGGTTTAAGTCTTCATCATACAGTGAAACACCCATACCTTCACCAGTGCCCATTCTCCACCACCAAAAACCCCAGTATACCCGCATCCCACTCCCTCCCCCTACCTGTGGGGCAGATGATTTCCACATTACTCTCTCTGTACTTTGATTACATTCAATATTTTGACACCTGACCCACCATCATTATTTGGGATTTTACCCCAACACTCAGATCTGCTGAAAAAGGCAACAGTAGACAATTTGTTTTCTATTGCTGGTTATGAATAACATATGATGTCGCATGGCTGCTATAATGGCCATGCAATTTTGAAATTCGGAAATTATAACAATTAAATCGGAGGGATTTCTGCCCAAACCTGTTGGGTTCTGAGATTTGTTTCTGAGTCTCTGGGATCATGCCATTAAGCAGCTTGATCAGGAGCCAGAGAGGCTGTTTGTGAGCGACAACTTGGGGTCTCATTGGGGTGGGGAGGAAAGGGTCAGCTCCACCCCCATCCTGTGAGGTCCCATGTGTCTTGCCACTGCGGGCCCAAATGTGATTGTCCAGTGGCCTCTGCAGGATGCCAGCCACCGGGCCACCAGGAGGAACAGGCCAAGGCACGAAACCTATTCCCACCCTGGGTGGCTTAGCGCCTGTAACCTACTGCAGGGACCGGGCACATTTCTGCCAAAAGCCGTTGGGTTTTGAGATTTGTTTCTGAGTCTCTGGGATCACGGCCGTTAAGCAGTTTAATCAGGAACCAGAGAGGCCATGCCTCCAATTATATAGCTGAGCCGGAGGTGGTTTGTTGGGTGTGTCTCCCACATACCTAACTATTGGCCGTTTATTTTCTTGGTAAATTTTGCCCCAAGTTTTTAGGGTCTGGCCAAAGGCAGAGCAGCAATTTTGGGGTATCTGGAAATCTGAAGGCACCATCAAGCTGCTCATGCACTCGCCTCACAGGTACAGATTGACCTGCTGGCGGCACCAGACCCCTGGTTCCATTACTAATCTTGAAATTAATCCATTACTAATCTTTCAGCTTTCTCAGATAATTTCCAAATTATCTTACAAAGAACACAAAGGGTACCTCAAGTTTACTTTATGTAATATTTGGCTATAAAGGCAAACAGCCAAGGAAACTAAAAAAAAAAAAAACCAGAACAAATGATACTTGAAAGTACCACCACTATAGACCAACAAACTGGCACATATCCCTGATTCAAACTGGCACATATCCCTGATTTAATGCAGCTCGTACAGTTTTGCAGTTGAAGGTGGCCTTCTGCAAGATAGCTCTGGTTTCATGACACTCAGCTGCTCAGCAGAGACATGAAATCCAAACCAGTCCTCTTCAAAATTAAAAAAAATTGAGTGTCACATAAAACCTCAAACTTGCAGTCTCAGACCTTGAATAGATGATAATTTGGGGTGTGCTAGATTATTTCCATATAATTTTTGTGCAATACTGCAAACTAAATATTTAGCAAATTGAGTTTTTGATCAGATAAAAATATATAGCACTTTTATATATTCATGTATGCATATTTTTAAGTATTTGTAGCAGATTTCAATTATCTGAGAATGCCATGATACATGTAAACCCTCTGGGTTATTGACATGATGGGCACTGTCTACTAAGGCACTCACAGATCATCATGAGATAAAGCCATCTGCTAGACGACACCTTTTCCTTTAACAGGGCTCTTCCATACTCACCAGTGCTGTGGTGGGCACAGGGCTGCTCACCTTGGGCCTAATAATTCAGTGTTTAGGCCCAGGTGATGCTCAAGGGCCACCTGGGCTGCATCAGCAGAGCATGGCGCAGGAAGCTGTGTTTTTCCAGGGATCAAACCCAGAGTCTCATACATGTTGGCCATGTGATTCACCACTTGAGCTAAGTCCTCTGCCTGTCTCAGGACCCTCTTTCAGCACATCCTGATTTATTTCTTTCAGCACATCTCGAATTATTTAGCAATACCCATGGGAAGAGAAAAGACTCTAAAAATGAACAGGACCCTTAGGGAGACAGCTGGGGATTGTTTCCTTTTTAAGTAGAAGTTTTTTCACATTTTAGAAACCTCTACACAAGCTTTTGTTTTGCTGCCTTGTCTAATAGGCATTGCTACAATTGCTCATTCAGTTTGTTGAAATGGAAAATTTACACCAATGGTGATAAATGCAAGCTTACATTATGTGCATGATACTGTCTTTGAAAACTGCCTGCAAGTCTCCGGATTATATGAGTGAACTATTTTTAGAGGACTGGGTATTTTAAAATTGTGCTTCACCTACAAGTAAAAAGCTAGATAAAATTGGACAGGGTATTTTTCCCTTAAACAATTTATTGTTCTACCAATAATCTCAGAGTATTGCATACAAATGAAACATTGCAGACAAGGACAGAACTGCCAAGTCCTGACTTAACACCATTATTCCCTGCAGCTAAATTACTTTGCATTTAAATTGAAATGTAAATAGTCATCTAATTTTTCCTTTTTGAACTTATGCCCCAAAACTTCATGTATATGATTAATTTTAAGAGTGTAATTAATTTGACTGTTCATTTTGTCTTGGAAGATGGAAGAAGCAGTATTCTTCCTCCTCACATCCCAAATAAATATTTTATACAAAGTTAGATATGCTGCAAGCATTTCTTCTGGCTGAATAATGAAGGCATGTTATGTCCAATAGTATGATTTATGCCCACTTCATTGTATAATGCGCATTTTTTCGGGCATAGAATCCTTAAGTTTTGTTTGTTTTTAAAGGACCAAAGTGCATAACGAATATGAAAGTAACCAAAGAGTAGCCCCTTACTAAACACGTGTATCCCACTTTCTACAGTTTTAAAATGTTCCTTGTTTGAGATTTGTTCTCTGCATATTAGAGCAAGTGGTAGATATCTTGGCCTTTGGAGAGTAAGTCCAAAATTGCCTGACCAAGAGACCCTAATTGTTCCTCCTCAAAGGACCAGTCTTTGGAGGAGCAGAAGGCAGAGAGTTAAGAGAAGAAATGAGAAGCCATGCCTGCACCTCTCTTCATTAATACAGGAGGTTAGTTACAACTTAAAAAAGTGTTCTTTGCTCAGACATGAGACTCCCTCTAATACACCTATTGGAGATTTCTCTCTCTTGTGGTAGAGTTAACTGGTAAGTTAAGACCTAGCTAGTTAGGCTAGTGAAGACCTGATTAAGCTAGTTAAGCTTCTTAAACTGTGGGTAGTAGCCCCACGTGTGTAACTGAATATGGAGATTGTGAAAAATTGGCAACAGCACAAATTTCTGAATGCACAGGGACCGGAATTTCAAACCAAATGCGTAATGAATCCTCGCTGTTTCTTGCAGCACTCTCATATTGCAATTCTTGAGTTGAAAAGTGGCCGTGAGTGGAAAAAGTGTAAGAAACCCTGGATAATTTGTCAGTTCATGTACACCTTCAGCTATCATTTGTCAATATTTTTGTTCTAGGCTCAGGAGTTTGGTATTGATAAACTGTCAAGAATTCAAGTGGCTGGCTCTCTTAGTTTTAAGATTGTGGCCCGACCCACCTTCTATTTCTGTTACCTTCTACTTTTCTAGGTTGGCCTTGCGAAATCCTTTGTGTCGTTTTCACCAAGAAGTGGAGACTTTTCGGCATCGGGCCATTTCAGACACTTGGCTGACAGTTAACCGCATGGAACAGTGCCGAACTGAATACAGAGGGGCATTATTATGGATGAAAGATGTGTCACAGGAACTTGATCCAGACCTCTACAAGCAAATGGAGAAGTTCAGGAAGGTAGGAGTTTACATATGGGGTACCTGCTGGAAGGCAATGAGGTGTGATTTCATTCCTTTTAGTGAAGACATAATTCAAAAGTACTAAGGATGGAATTAATCATCGGTGGTGTCTTTTTATGTGACAGAATACCAATTACTGTGATATATAATTCTCTAAGGATATGATAGAAGAGACAGCTGGAAATTGCTGGGATTTAGTAACTGGTTCTAATTGAAGTCACACCTTAATAGAATGTGCTTTTTCGGTAAGGTTGTCACTTTTAAATGTTTTTTCACCCGTAACTAAAATTCAAGATCAGATAAAATAAAACTGGAAGATGAGAAGAGAATATTGGGGAAATCTTCTAAAATTGCTAATGAATAGTAAAATTAATAGAATAATGATGCTTCTTTGTTTTGTGAAATATTCAGAAGCAATAGGGCTTGATTGTTGGGTTAAATAATGTGGCACAGATTCCATTTGAAAAATCTGTATTCAGACACTTGTCTGAGGAAATAAATGAGGATATGGGCATGTCTTAGACGTTTCCGAAATAATTGAGTAGCAGCAGAGGAGCAGTGTTCTATTGATTTTTTTTTTTAAATTACATTGTGTCAGTTGGGCGGTTTGAAGCTTTTGTTGCACAAAGATACGTTGTGCCACTAGGTGGCAGTCACACACTGAGTGTTTATGAAAATGCAGAAAGATTTTTTTGCTGTGTACAATCTTGGTCGTTCTTTGTTTGGTCTGGTTGGAAATATTTCAGGGTGTGAAAGGGGAAAAATCAAGCAAATGTTAGGTTTGACATAATATTTTGTCAACTGCATTATTCATTACAAACGATCCCTGTGTAATTTGTGTTATTGCTTAAAATCTCTTGACAATTTATTCTTTTAAATGCATCATTTCTGATTTGTGAATGAGAAGCCTTACTGGGGTTGTGTGGGATGGGGGAGTGTGTGGGATTGGGGAAAGGAGAAGGCTTTTGTTGCTTAAGAGCAAGGTCATTAATTCTTGATCTGGGTGTTATATTGATACACATGCTTTTTTAAAAAATCAAGTTGTTTTTAATTTATTATTGTATTTTGGAATCTTACCCCTTACTCTTACCCTCCCAATGAAGGGAGTTAGAATTCATTTTATTTCTAGTTTTAGATGTCCATAATATTCATTTGCAGCATCTGATTTCTCAGTAAGACAGATTTATGAGATCTGAGATTCTAGAAAATCAGAACTGAAAAGTCCTAGAAGGGTCTAATGAAGCTCACTTATTTTATACAAGCGAAACTTGAGGCCCTAAAATAGTGTCTCAGAATTTTCAAGGGTTGATAGATGTGGGTGAGCCAATGATACATTTGAACTTTCCTGACTTTCTACTTAGACAAAAATTTGATTTGTCTTTGGCATTTTATTCGGGTGTGAGAGGTGGTTAAAAGGTGGTAGGATAGAGAGAATTTAAGAAGGAAAAAAAAAAAGAAAAAGTGCCCAACATTATCTTCAGGGCCTAGGACCAATCACTGTGTGCCTCCAAGTCACTTCCTTCTGCAAGTCTCACAAGAAAATAACCAAGACAAACTTTATAGATGAGGAAAATGATACCTATGTAATTTAACTAACCCAAGGTCAAAGAGGGAAGTGAGTCAGAATTCTCAAAAATATCCATAATTCTTTCCTTAAGAGGATAAAAAAAAAAGGAATGTTGAGGAATAGATCTAAAACTGACAAAGGCCTTTTTCGTCATTAACCTCTCCTGCTTTTTACTCATTCAACAGATATTCAACGAACACCTCCATACATTAGGTAATATGAGTAAATATACGATGTAATGCAGGGGGATTTCATGTGGAATTATGTTTGTTTGACTTTGTTTGGGAGGATGGTTACTTGCTGTGTTAAGGATGAAACAAAAACCAAGCCCGTCGTCATTTGGTTTGAGTGTTGAAATATTACTCCACTGTTCAGTATCATCAGTCTGTTGATTTTGGAAAATATGGTTTCTTAAAAGAAATCCTTTGCCATGCAGAAGTCACTGAGGCGATGCCTTGCTTCATGCTCCCGTGTGTGCTGGATTTAATTTAATATCTGAACAGGGTATACTTAAAATGTGGAGAAACTTTTATTATTTAGAAACATTTTAATATATATATTTTTATTTTTCAAAGACATCTTTTTTCAAGTGTATAGTGTTTGGCTGGAGTCTTCATGGGGACATGGATGGGGTGGGTTTTCTTCACTGCCATAATCCTCAGAATGGCCTAGCCTCTGGCCCCATGTTAGCACTCCTGTGAGTCAGATGTCCCCCCACCTCACGTTCAGTCAATATGAGGAACTCAAACATTCTTGCCTAAACCTCAAGAGCAAACCTACTTTGTGCATCTGACCATAGGTGCCTTTTGGACATTGGTATACTTGGTTTTTCAGGTAAGAAGTAGTCTTATTAATCTGTGGTTCATTATCCTTGTAATGGATGTAGAGACTGGAATTGGCTGTTCTCTTGGAGTTTATAACATGAAATTTAACTTTGAGCAGGCTTTAGCATTGTTTCCTGTGGGATTCCATTTTACACAGACTCTCCATTTAATTCTCAGAGAAGTGTTACCACAATGCCTTTCTGAAGTCTCTGTGAGAATCCCCATGGGAGGGAAAATCTCCAGCTTCTCAAAGTCTGCCCCCTCCATGTTTTCAGAGGAGAATCCTGAGCAAAAGTAGTATTTCTGCTGTGAACTCTGTGCTTTGACATCACTCTTTTTGAGGAGACAGGATTCTCATCCCCCAGGTTGCCATCTTTATTTCTTCATTCATTTCTTCATTGATGACAACAAAAGCCAACTCTATGCCAGGTCACTTGCCCAGGGATGTAGTAGTAGAGACATACATGGCTGTGGAGGTGGTGAATACCAATACTAGTCTATGCAGGTCTGAGGTGACACACGGGACTACAGGAATGTCAAGGAAAGGCTTCCAGAAAGGTGCCACCTAGATAAAATATAGCTGGGTGGAGAGCGAGGGACAGAAGAGCAAAGTTCTAGGCACTTAAACAACTCACACTCAGGTGAAAGCAAACAGGATGCTTCACGGATGTGAAAGGTCCTTTTAGTCAGAGCACAAACAGCGGGGTGGGTCTGGGGTAGGGTGTGCTGGAATGGTGCTGGAAGGGTGAATGGGGTCAAACCAAAAGGGACATACCTACCACCCTAACCCAGGAGTTGAGAAGTAGAAGAGCATGATCAAATCAATATTCTCCCCAGCCCACTCAGTATCTAATGTGGAGAAGGGATTGGAAGGACCCTCACTTGAGGAAGAGCAGCTGAGTGACTTTTGGAGAATCCTGAGAAGCTGACCTGAGGTCAGCATGGAGTAAGAAGAACAGGGATTATTATTCTTTGGCCTCTAGCAGACTCTGAGATAGCACAACTTTAATTACAGATCTCTTCATTCTTTTGTAGCAATAAACAGAATCTTTTCATTCTTTTTAGTAATAAACAGAATCTCTTCATTCTTTTTTAGAATAAACAGTATAAATAAACACATCACAAAATCAAGTGTAATTTCACCTCCAGCCATTTTTCCTAGTGTTTTCAAAATAGTCAGAAATTACTTACACACACACACACAAACACACACACACACACACACACACACACACAGAGTGAGCCTGATGAAAATGATGAATGAAAAACTTAAAATCAAACCAAGTAAATATTCAGTTTTCACTCTGGCACCCTTTGAAGCATGTAGGCCTGATGACAGAGCTGTCGGTAGCAACATTGCCAAGCATTTATTAAGTGACTATATTTGGGGGTAGAAATTCAAAGAGGTGGAAAAGCTTGATCCCAACCCTCAGGAAGGATCCTGCTAGTCATATGTTCCTTGTCAAAATTATGGTGATAAACAAGACACCTGGAGAGAGTGGCCTTTTGTCTTTATTCTCTTAAAGACCAAATAATTGGGAATGGTGGATGAATTCAAACAGGCCAGGCTGAGCAGCAACTGTGCAGTTGGGAGCCCCTCCTAACTGTGATTCACCCCCCAGGAGGGAAATAGAAAGGAGACTACGCCATCACGTATTTTATGAGCAGTTGCAATGTGTGATATATGTGCCCTTTGAAGGCAGAGTAAAAGGGTGTAATTTAAAAATAGAAGTCAGCTTCTTGTAGCAGATTACATCAGCTTAAGTTGTGAGCTCACAGAAGAGCTTTTGCAGCCTGATGCCCTTGAGAGAGTCCTCCTGTGGTCAATTAAGTGTCTTGTTTTTCTTGAAAGTCAGAAATGGGATGGAGAGTAATTATTCTAAATGGAATGAAAGCTGTGATAGGTGTAAGAAAATAGTTCTGAATCCTCTAAAGAGATAATATGGAAATGTATACGTGGGCATTTGTATGAGTTGGAGTCCTTATAGACAAGGACACGGGAACCAGCATTTTAGTGAGGACCATTTATTAAGTGACTTAATGAAATTTTACAGTAGTTGTCTAGAGTTTCATCACTATAATTCAAAATAGGATCAAAAATATTGTAGGAGACATGAATTATACACACTGCTATTCTTGGGCTTAGATCTGTTAGATCTGTTTAAAATATTGGTAGGATTTGGAGGGCTATTAAATCCTTGAAGTTGGATCAGCAGATATAGTACTGTGAGGAGGGTTATTGACAAATGTTGGTGGCTCACTAGAAAGGATTTTTATTAGGCTCATCACTCAGTGGTGTCCCTGAGTGTTAGCTGTGAATGGGTTTTTTTTTGGGGGTGGGGGTAGTAAGGTTTCCTGTGAAGCTTGGTCAATCACTACTAAACAGTAGTATTGACATGAGGGTTTTTTTCCTGTGGACAAAGACTTGGTTAATTAATTTGACAGTATCATTAATTACTGCTGAAATCATTGGTCTTTGTCAGAGGTCAGGCTCTTTTAGCAATTGAGGGCAGGTCCTTTGAGACCTGGAGATGCCAAGTAATGCAGGAGTATCACCACTCAGCCAACTCCCTACTCTAAACAAGGCCTTTCCCTTTTTGCCAGAAC